ATTATTTATCAATTTTAATTTTTAAAATACAAAGAAAAAGATTTCATTAAAAAATCGTAAAATATGCATGTAATGTAATAGTGATATTTAATTGAGTCAGCTGTCAGTTCCTATATTCATCGCCTGTTTCGTTCAAGATAAATGAATATATCTTATTCCATAACATCATAAATTTTACTTATGCTCTATTTCTATACTTCTGAACTATTATCTATGCTTCTGAAGTTCTAAAATGGTTCTAAACTATGCTTAACCTAAAAAATAATAGAATTTAGAAGTGATTTTAAATTGACATTTGTTCAGTGTCTGGTTATGTAAGGGGTGTTTTTTAAGGTTGTTACAATAAAATAGGACTACTAAACATTTCGTAATTAAAAATGTCTCTCGGTTTTGTACAACGACGATTTATGAGTAGTGCACTTCAAAAATTTGCTTATAATTTATCAGGATTTCACAAATATGGTTTAATGAGAGACGATGTCCTTTTCGAAAATGATGATGTTAAAGAAGCTCTACGACGCATTCCACAGAAGGTTATTGATGAAAGAAATTACCGAATGTTAAGAGCCATGCAGCTATCATTACAAAAGGAAATTTTGCCAAAAGAACAGTGGACAAAACTTGAAGAGGATAAATTATATCTCACTCCAATCGTGGAACAAGTCATCAAAGAACGCAATGAACGAGAAGAGTGGGAAAAAGATCATTAAATTAAAGTAGAAAACTAAAAAGTAGTCCTTAAAATTTTAGTAAAACATTAATTTATGGATGTTTAAAATAAATTCTTGTAAATAATCAAATTATTTTATTTCTATCTGCACAAATATCTTTCAGTGTAATAAATTTACAAAGGGGATGAAATGTATGATAAAACAAAAAAGACAATGAGGTGTTTGTGCTATTTTTTTAAAAATATATTTGCTTAAAAAATAAGTTTGGGAAACTAAACCTAAAAAGTTAAAATAATATGTAAATGCACTTACAATCTACCATTTACATTAGTTTTCATCATCTTCAATTTTTGGAGCCAAATAGTAACGAATATAACCCAATTCTGCAATTTCATATTCTACTACCAAAGGAACATTGCTGGACATGGACAGCTGCACTCTTGGTGAAAGCGGTGTAGCCTTTGTAAATGAAATTAAATACTGACATGCAAATGATAGTGAAACAGGTTCTTGCATTTCAATAGAGACAGATTCTTCTTCTTTATCAAAATTATTAGTTTGAGCCAACTTCACATTAGCACTTCCTACATCACCAGAAACAGAGAATTTCACACCTTCCTTTGTGCAGCAAATCAATACTGTTTCACCAAATTGTGCCAAATCCCTCACAATTCGTGCAAATTCTACTGATGGCATGCGAATTACACATGAAAAGTCAGTTTCAGGGATACCAAGGTGTTCTTGGTCCAAGTTCATGAGCTTCATTTCATAGTCAGATATTTTTTCTTGTTTTTTTGATTCAAATACAAATGTAACGGTATCTGCATCATCCTGAGCCTTAATTGTAACTGTATCATCGTTGTTAGCACATTTTAATATCTTGCTCATACTAAAATAAAAGCAAATGTTATGGAAAATGTGAATAAAATTATTGCACAAACTAACCTGGCTAAGTTCATTCCCATTGTAAGGCTTCGATCACATCTGTATTTATCAAAACCGTCTGATCGTAAAGTTAAGGATACTAAACTAACATGTGAATTATCCATGGCCTGCAATTGTATGCCTGAATCAGAACAATCAAAAGAGGCCTCATTCAGAAGTTCTTTAACCGCCTCTAAAACTTTTTTTAAAGTTGCGGCACTAGTAAGTCTTGCTTCAAACATTTTAATAAGTGAACCAAGTATAAAATACGAATCAAATATGCAAGTAAAATAACAATTTTACAGGCTTAAACGGTGTGATATATGAACACCTTAAAACATACGAGTAATCTAACCTTTTCGATTAACAAAGTAATACGAAAACAAGGATCACAAAGGCGCCAAAAGGTTGAAACTTGGCGGTTGAATAAAAACTATTACATCGAATTTTTATTGTATCTAAAATAGAAAATGTGTCTAACACAAACTAATTTTCGACGTTATACTCACAATGATGCGCGATTTGCTCCAAACATATTCTCCATAGATAGTCTCTAAAAACATGAAATGCAAGAGTCCAGAAGATGATCCAGAAGTGTTGCAGATCGTTTAAAATCAAATAAGTGTTGGGAAAGTGAAATTCAGAAGTTATAACTATAAGAAACCTGTTTAGTGATTTTGTGAATTTCACTGATAACGGTGTTAGAATAAAATTCATTGTATGTTCAACCAAAGTACTCACCCTGGGGGTTTCGGCTCCACAACAACTCCTTCTTCAAATCCCATGAAGGACTTCGAAGTTACATCACCCCCGGACGACTCAATAAGTTCCCTAGCATTTTCTCCAGCGACAATTTCTCAAAACTTTTTGATTGCTGGAAGTTGGGATAACAATGTCCGTTGTTGGGAAGTGGAACAAACTGGAAAAACTGTAGCAAAAGCTATGCAAACATGTGGGGGACCTGTTTTAGATGTGTGTTGGAGTGATGATGGCTCAAAAGTTTTTATGGCTGGTTGTGATAAACAGGCCAAAGTTTGGGACTTGGCAAGCAATCAAGTTATGCAAGTGGCTCAGCATGATGCTCCAATAAAGACTTGTCACTGGATAAAAGCACCAACATATTCATGTTTAATGACAGGCTCCTGGGATAAGACCCTCAAATTTTGGGATACACGAAGCAATCAACCATTGATGAGTATCACTTTATCAGAAAGAGTTTACTGTGCAGATGTTGATTATCCAATGGCTGTAGTGGGAACTGCAGGGCGACAAATTTTAGTATATCAGCTGGAAAACAAGCCTCAGGAATTCAAAAGACTGGAAAGTCCATTAAAGTATCAGCATCGATGTGTTTCAATTTTTAGGTAAATATTTATTTATTTTGTTTTGTTCGCTTCTTATATGGTTTTTTACTACAGAGATAAAAATAAAAGTCCAACTGGATATGCTCTTGGCTCAGTAGAAGGACGAGTGGCTATTCAATATGTGAATCCTACAAATCCCAAGGACAATTTCACATTTAAATGTCACAGATCAAATGGTACACCAAATGGTTATCAAGACATTTATGCAGTAAATGATATCGCTTTTCATCCGGTCCATGGCACTTTGGCGACAGTGGGATCTGATGGAACATTTAGTTTCTGGGACAAAGATGCCCGTACAAAATTAAAACCATCAGAAACTATGGAACAACCAATTACAAGATGCGCTTTTAATCATAACGGCCAAATTTTTGCCTATGCTGTGAGCTATGATTGGAGTAAAGGCCATGAATTTTTTAATCCATTAAAAAAGAACTACATATTTTTGCGTTCATGTTATGACGAATTGAAACCAAGAAGCACAAGTAATTAAGTGCTTTTTTTGCTTTTAATAATGTATTAATCTCTATAATAATCAACTTTGTAATAGCTAAAGAAATAAATATTCATTTTAAGAAAATGAGATGGTTTTTATAGAGTACGTAAATCAGTGAAAACACGAAAACGCAATTTATATTTCTAATATATAAGCAATAAATTACAAAATTATTAAGAAGAGTATTTTTCCTACTTTGTAATGAAACAGTAAGAATAACACTTTGTAAAAAAAGTTATTTTGCATGCTTAGCAGAATAATACTTGGTACCATTGACAGTGGAGACTCTTGCATACTTGGCTAAAAGAGCAGTAACATCCAGTTTAGGAGATGTTAAAGACCTTGAATGAAAGAAACAAGTTAATTTTACTATTTCCAAGTATTACAGAAAGACTATAGATAGGTATGTACAAAAAAATACAAATACTATAACTTTGAGCCAAATTACCCATAGTTAGCTGACTGGCTTTTAGTGCAAGTTGGAAGTCTTGTATTAATTGGGAATTGTAAATACTTACCTAACATAAGGGGTAATTTCAGGAACAGTCCACTTTTCTTTAACATCAAAAAGGATTTTAAAACGTTCGTGAATATTTTCTGGAAGATCCTCTTCAGCAAAAGCTCGGATACTTGGAGGATTTGACTTCTTATTTATGACTGATATACCATAAAGCATTTCTTCCTTGGGAATCATCCCTTCTGGAACAGATTCTTGCCAAGCTTGTAAGAATTCATTCAAATTAAATTTTCCTGCATGCAACAATAATATCTGAGCAAAAAAACGGCACACTTCTTCCTCTTTATATTTATAAAGCTGTACTCCATCTATTACTTTTGACTCAACTGTGTACTTTTCAAAGAGAGAAGTTAGTATTTCCTTAGGTACAATATCACTTAAGCTATCAATTGTATCTTCATAAACAATTTCATCTAGGAGCCAGGAATTTTCTTCAATAAGTTTTAACATGTAAGATAATACCCTAAAATGATATTCTTGCTCTAAAAGACGAATTTTTCCATTTATAGTTACAACAGGCATCGCATTTAAAATATTTCTCAGTTCTAGTTCTGATGTTTGTGCCTTCTGAAGTAAATCATCAAAAGAACATAGGTCACACTCATTAACATCACATTCTAATTCTGGTCCTCTGTAGATAGTTTTATTGAGTACCTCTCGGATTTTGGATAAACGTGGCATGGATAAAACTGGTTCTAAGTAATCATTGAATATGCTAAATACATCAACTTTTATTGAACTACACCCTAATTTATCACAGGCTCCTTCAAAAAAATTTAAATCTTTTACAGCTAACAAACTATTAGAGGTTTCAGTCTCTAACAAATTGTATGTGCACATGTCAGTACACAGAACTGCATTATCATCATCTTGTCCTCTTATGTATAAACTTTCGCCTTTTTCTAACGTAGACAACAAATGATTGTCAAGTTGTAGCAACTTATAGTTTTTAGAAAAAACATTTGTTGAGGCAAAATACACCATTTGGGATGATGGCAGGAGTTCATTTTTATCCAATTTTGCAAGTAGTAATGCATCATCTATTTCAGCTTTTGTTCTTACACAGCTACAAAAAATATAGGGTAAACATTCATTTACTGATTTTTAAATATAATTTTCTTACTCGTTTGTATTATCCATATTTCATTAAAAACTTACACATACGTAACAAGAAATTGTGAGCCCCGTAATGAATATATATTTTGTCTTTAATATACTATATAAATGCAAAAATAATATGATACTTTAAATAATTTCCACTTAACATTTCTAGTTGTNTTGAGAAACTGCATAAAGACAGTTTATTTATAAGTATGCAGTTATTCTTCTTATCATATTATCATATTTTAATATGCACTGTACTGTTGATGAAGAACAAGCACAGACAATTTTCATATCAATGCTTATATGAATATTATGATAAAGTTCAAAAATAAACAGGATCACTAAAACAAAACTGAAATTATTATTCATTGGTGGATAATAAAAATAAAAGCTCACCTTTAACCCTACCAACAATTAAAATATTTTAATTAATTTCATACGTTTTTCAGTAAACATTTATAATATATATTTTAGATAAATAAGTCACTAAGTTAATTAAGGGCAAAATAGTACAATTCTTTTATTTTAAATAATTTAAAAAAACATTGTAGTATTTTGTAAACAACTACTTAACCTATAAATTAATATTGAAAAATTCTTACTTGTATTTAAATCATCAAACCTGGAAGTAACACTTTGGGAGGCATGATTGTTCGATAATAACGTCGTAAAAAGTAAAATTGGAATCCACACTTCCATAATAAGGAATACCGGTGGTTTTCTTAAGCTTTTACATTAGAATACACCTTCAGAAAACAATAGTCCAATAATCGGCTTATTTAAACAGTATTCTAATATTTACTAACAAAATTTAGACACTATGTTGTATATAAACATAATTTTGTCCATTGCTTTTCATAATGTTTAAAGCAGTTTTAACAAATAAAAAAAAAGTAGAAAAACCTACCCAACACAACACCACAAGCACACATTCCTATGTAATAATAATAATAATGAAGTTGATTGATGCAGATTTGCACAAACGTTGTTGTTTAGTTATAATACCATCCTTGTCACACTAACGAAAAAATTCATATATGTTTTCCTTTGTTTATTTTAAAGGTC